GTCTCACCATAAATGGATATGCATTAGGCCTCTCTCGACTTGACTGGGGAGTGACCCTCGGGTTTTCATGACAGCTCCATATGTCATGAATATTATCCTATATTTGGTGAGATCTTCTAAGGACCTCATCTGTTCTCCATTTTCTCTGTTTAGGTTGGTGTGTCAATGAGTGTGCGTAACTTCATTCCTTTAAATACCATGCAGAAGTTGTAATCATTAGGTCAGTCTGATCCAGCACAGGTTATTGTCCTGTTGTCTGATGAAGACTTTCCTCAAACCCATTCTTCAAGCTTGCTATAGGGATTGATCTGATCAATGCAAAAGCTTAAACCTGTATTTGAGAAATGGTTTCTTACTTGCAATTAAACAAGTTAAAATTGTCAACTGTAACATACTCTCGTGCGTCTTACTTTAAGTTCAAATTCAGCGATTAAAGTCTAAAATTTCCACGACAGGCGCTAGTGACAGCGGGGGAAGATTGCATTGATTTTCGGTTCGCCACTCTGGGCTACGTGTTTAATGTACACCGGGCTACTGTATTATGCATTAGGAGATAAATGGCAGCGGCGTGGCGCGAGGCGGCGAGAGAGACGTCGCTTTCCCCGCAGGTATTACCGGGGACCGAAAAGTGCCGACCCAACAGGAATTGGAAGTGCTTGGATTTACATAGCGGCGCGTGTAGAACACAAATCAGTCCGCGGCGTTGACTCCAAACAGAACCATCAAAATGTGACTAAATGCAAAGTGTTTATTCATCTTTCCGCTTCTTGCTAGTTGAGCCTCTGGTGTGTCCGATGTACATAAATGACAATGCCGGGACATTTACGATATACGGGTGACGCTGTGTCTTCTTTCTCTGCGATATCGGCCCGTCTGGTGACACTTCGTCTCACCGCATCTCGTGTTGTGATTTATTCCCTATTGTCCTTGACGGTACATCGTCCGACCCGTTCGTTAGTCAAACACTTTTTCGCGGCGCCGCAAAGAGAAATGATAGGCTGCTGCAGTATTTGCACCGTAGCGTGTAATTATACAATAACGTAGACGCGTGTGTAATTACGGAATTTCAGTCTCTCTTGATTTTCTGAGGGCAACGTTCATTTCTCTGACACTCTAAGCAGTGTTAAGTATAAGCAGTCATAGCACAACACAACGCCCAGAGGTTCTTCAGCGCAGTGCCTGTTTCTCGCCGGCAAATCCGCGGAGGAGCAGAATAAACGTTGTGTAACTCAATCCGACGTCCTTGAGCCGCTCAGAGACCAGAAGTCTTTTCACATGAGATCCACTGCAACTCACGAGCAACGAGAGGCACCCAGTGTGAAGGGAATCCGTCAGCATGGATCAAGACATGACATCCGGAATTCCTCTACCGGCTTCACAGCTCCACAACCACGATTCCGGTTCTGGAGCTCAGAGGAACCCCGAGACCGCTCCACAGAGATTCCGCCGATTGGCAAAGTGAAAAGTGAACATGACAGGTTATAAAGTGATATAAACGCACGTGCATTTTTGTCATTTCCTGTTAGACATGGATTCTGTTATGAAGAGTGACTTACAGATAACGTCTTCATGTTTATAGGTCGGTCAAAAGCATAGCATAACAATTTTTTACTCAAAATCGGAGCTGCTGTCAATGATATTGTTTGCCTTAATTGTTTCAGAAGATCTTAGTAGAACGTTATGGTAGAACATCTGAAAAGGTGCCATGAACTTCAAAGCATAGCAAAGTATTATATAATCGTAATAACTACATTCATCAACATTCATCCCAGCAATCATATTTTTTTTGTCCAAATCTTTTGATAATTCTCTTTCACACAGTGATCGACGGGGTGTGCGTTCAATGCCACACACACAATTGCCAGTATTTTTTCTTGAATGTAAATGCTGTTCGCTTTCTCTATAATTCAAAGCTGAGGAGAATATTTCCTCCTTGGACACAGACAACCACCAACTTTATTGTAACGCAGGTAATTCAGAAGATAATATGTTAAAAAGAACACCAACAAACAGCGCAAATCCACTGACAGATGAAGAGGAGATCTCCTAACACATGTCAATGCCTGGGTAGATTAGATGGTGATGATGAAGATTGAGCATCTGTAGGATGTGCTGGACCAAACAACCAAGTCCGATCCATGGCAGATTTACCACAGATTTATTAGGCATAATGTTTTGGCTCTTCAAAATGACGTAATAATGTTCCTTGAAAAAAAAGAGAACTGGAGACAAAACGCAACAAATACGATCTGAACCAACACTTTCTTGCTGATAGAGACAATGTCTTCTGCCATTTGCTCTTGGATGTCCTTGCCAGGCTTTTCAAGATGACTACAAGCTATCACTCCCATCAATACATTACCACAATCATATTAGTTAGAACAGGAAACAGAGTAAAAGAGAGAGCATCACTAAAACAGACTAATTAACAGTTTGGAGTATGTGTTAATTGATTTAGAGGTGCTTAGTGTGACTTATATAATCAACACTTCATTTGCCAGAGCTCCTTAAGCCAAAACAAATACTGCCAAAACACATACAGCCAAAACATGAACAAGCCAAACATGTAGATAGATATATTATGCACACATTCTCACACGCACACACACACATACACACACAAATAGAACAGAGCATATTTCTTGCGTTATTTCTTGATGTATTACAGCATCACCACAAGGGTTTGTTAAATATAGGCTTAGTTCTGACGGTGGTTTCTAAACACACTCAATCCCACCTACACACTCATACATACACAAACACACACTCAATCTCACACACACACACACACACACACACACACACACTGGCTGTCTGTCAAAATAAGTGTCTGCTTATATTATCACTGCTGATGTGTGGGTGCAAATTGTTAAGTGTCTGTACCTTCTTATTGTAAATGACGACTGCTTGCTCTGTGTGGGAACCTGCTGCTCCCAGACAGGCAGAGGCACCAACCATCTTTTAGGGGTTAGGGTTGAGATCAGTCAGAAGATCTGCTGCAGCTTGACTGCTTGAGGTGTGAGGTCTGGGTGAGCTCAGGTAACCATACCCTAGTGTGTTTTTACACAGGCATATCCAAACAAATTGTTTACACCTGGTAGTTTAGTGGTCCCGTGAGATCTGGCCCAGTTCTTCCACTGGTACATCGTGTTCCCCGTTGCAGAAGGCGTCGCCGAACAGTTACCAACCAAAGAGTCTTTACTCCTGAGCGCCACCAGTTCTCTGAAGGAAAGATCGGGATGCAACCGCGGCGTTCCCGAAATCCAATCAGAACGCTGTAGAAACGTAGATATCTCAGGTAGCACGGTATACCTGTATAAGCATCCCATATCACACGCGCTGAGTGTTCTCAAGTTTAATCCTGAAATCCGGAGAATTGTCTAGGGTTTTATCTGCATTCAAGGACTTGTGAATAACGAAGACCCACTTGTGATTTAACAATACAACATGTTTTAGCTTGCAGTCAGAGGAAAGGTCATCGTCTCGCCATGAATAATAATGAGCTACTTCCTTGCTCTCGTCCAGATCGTCGGTGTGATTTCTCCGTCCGCAGATAAGCCCCGAAAGGCGTCCTGTTCACTTCGAAGTGCCCTTCTTAGGACCGCAACTGATCGGGCTAGGTTCATTTAGCAGGGAACCATTTTCACCACAGGCCATGTCTCATTAATCCCTCACACATGATTACCTCCTAAACCCGGGCAACAGGTCTAAAGAGGTTCCCACTGATTCGCCGGTTCCGCTTATTGATTCAGTCTCCCCTTCACGTTATGTCGGCTACCTGCGAAACGATGGAAGACTTTGTTTCTGAAATTACAAAAGAGCATTAAATTGACAACAGTCACGCGTTGTCGTGGATATATACATAATTCCGTGACAAGAAGCTGCCCTAAAATAAGTTACACTAGATTTCATTACTGAAATAAATGTTATCACTGAATGGTTTTCTGTAGTACTGGAACAGTGGAGGCTATTATAGCATGTGATTTTTTTACTTTAGTCATGGATTCAATTACTTGTCACGTAGGAAGATCTTAATTTCACAATGTCTCTGAAGAATAGTTTAACGAGAACCATTTGTAACAGAGTCAATCTGAATATTTTCAAAAACAGCAACAAATACATTGCATTGTTCGTTCGGACCTGTTACTTTCAATGGACTCCTGTGGTCAGATATAATCAAGCAACTTGTTCTGACAAGTTTGTCTTGTCAGAAAACCAACAGTGGCGTACTGAACTGTTTGGGATGCATTTATTTTGCCAGCTTATTGAAACTCGGCGGATGGGTTCTTATTCTGCAAATGCAAACGAGCAAGAGAGGAGAAGTTTGAAGGTAAACATGTCATGCTGCTCATGTAAGATCCAATTATAGCATGAAAATAGAAGTATGGTCAAATATGGTTACATTTTTAACTGTCATATATCTATAGTAAAACGCGTTCATCACCTTTGTCCTTTATACTGCATTTTTAATATTCACTTCGCATTTTCCAAGCACTTCTAAAAACCAACTGTACAGGAATTTAAAGCTCTTTTCATTTTATTCATTGAGTGAAATATTGTTTAAATATTTATACATATACACACACATACACACATTAAGAAATTCAGGGGAAATAACAATGAAAAAATCATATTATGAGCATTGTTGAAAACGTGGCGAAAATCTGAAATAAAATCCTCTCAGGAAAGTGCTAGAGGTCTGCTACCCGACCCGAGCCCGACGGGTCCCGAAAAATGTTCGGGTTTCGGGTCGGGTTCATGTTTAATGAACAGCCACAGTAGAGAACACATAGTACACCAGGTTTAATGGTGGCTAGTTGTTGAAACTCTCACAGAAGTTATGTTGTGTTACATTGTATTATTCTCTGAGGAAGACATGTCCAACAATAAAACACGTTTACTCTAGTCTTTGAAGATTAAACTCGCAACCATTTCGTTGACGTTGTTCAATTATTTGGTCAAATTGCTTAATGCTTTGGGTCTCGCACCGGTCTTAAACGGGCCTGTTAAGCTGAGTTGGTACAGCTTGCTCTTGCGAAGCCATGGTTATGGGTTCAATTCCCACGAGGGGCCAGTATGAAATTGTATTTACTAACGATGATCTGCAGAATGGAAAAAACTGGCATGATAAAAGTGTAAATCATTTAGAGCCATTCTGGTTATTGATTCAGATACAGATACAGATTGTACAGTTTATTCCTTCAGGCTTCCTTTGTTCATTGACGACCGTGTGAATAGACATGTGTTCGACCTGTGCAGGCGTGTATGAAGTGTGTGTGTGTGTGAGTGTGTGCGGTAATCTCACTTCAGAGGTTTCCACCTTGGTGAATACTATCAAAATGAATAATTCCCTGTTATAATGATAATTTCTTATGTGGGTTGATGCTAAATAAGGAATGCAGCAGCTCTTCTATAACAAACACATTCAACTCATTTCCATTAATCAACAAAAACTACTCCAGCACAGTTTCAGCACTGAAATGTCGTTCATTAGAGAAAAAACAAAATATTGTCCATTGCTCTCTGACAGGTTTTTTTGTCGAAGACAACGTCAGAACGCAAAATATGGACGCCGCTACCAGTGAAAAAGAAACAGAATGAAATATGAAATATCACTGTACCTCACCAGCATAAAGGTATGTATGGCTTTAACAGAGAGGAAAAAAACAATGAATCTATTTCAGATAAAGTTCACACTGACAATTAAAGATGTGTCTGGGTAGATTAAGTAAAAGGTCAGATATCTGGACAGTACCAGCAGTCTGTCTGACATTATCAACACGTGCTCCTTGATGGATCTTATACACCTTTAGTTTCCAATATTATCGGGCTGGACAGTCAGATAAACCAGTGACTGGTTGTAGCAAACTACCATTCTAAAACTTCTGCCCCAGTGCATGATGGTTGTAACACCGCACTTTAAGTACTTACACGATTCACATGTGTTTTGACCGAAAGTGCACATCCACCAAGCATTCACCCATGACAAGAATATGTATTATTGAATATGCATGCATGTTGTTTTACTGTCAAATACTGGACATTGACGTACTATAGTCATCGTTTAATCTGCGTGTGCCTTGCTCCAGAGGGGGGGGGTTGCAGTGTCAAAGCAAAGGACTAAACACTTAGAAACACTTAAAACACCAACATCCTGACTCCCCTCTAATGGAAACAAATGAGCTGCCGGGCGTCGGTAGAGACAGTCGCCGATGAACTTATAAATCATAATCAATCAATCCGCGGATCTATCCGCGATTCCGAGCCACGTCTACCCGGCTCCAGGCTTGCGGAACCGAACACAGATGGCACCGCCGCGCGTCTCCCGAGCTCCGCCGTTTAGTGCGTCGGTGGGCTGGGCGTTTGTGATCCGGGGGAGTTGTGTCTGTAAACGGCGCAGTGGTAAATGAGTCCCTATGGGCAGTCATCGGAGCGTGCCGTGTATTTACCCAGCAGGCATAACAAGCCTACAGTCGGACACCGAATTCAGCCATCCTTCAACACGCCGAGGGAGGGAGGGAGACGAGTTCTCTATCTGTTCCGGGGCACGGTGAGAGAGAAAGCGAAAAAAGTGCATCTCCTGTCTTTCCCTAACAATTACTCATGCTGTCATCCTGCGTGATAGACTTGTGTCTAACCGAGCCGTTGCTGGATTTCTGATGTTCTCTTCAGGAGTGGAAAATGCAATGGAAACACTCAAGGCGTCAGAATATCGGTTGACTCTCCTCAGATAATATGCCCTGTTATGTGGTTGAGTGAAATTATAGCGGGTTTGTCACTCCTGTCGTGTTTTGGGCCACTTCTTCTGCTATCACTTTCGTAGGGCGGTTATCACGGTGTACTTTGCTGAAGGGAATGATGTACACATTTCTTTTTTGGGGGCTGATACGTTGTTAAGTTATTCAATGTCATTGCATTGTTTCGCAGATGTTTCATTCACAGTGACTTAAAGTTGCCTTTGATTTTTCCATGCCAACTGAACTACATGAGACTGTGGAGAATACAGTGTTTGTGATGTGGGACATTGTGCATGGGACATTTGTGACAGGGTTTGACAGGTGGGTGGAGCTGGCTGTACAGATGGGATGTCCTTGTCAAAGTGGCAGTTCTGGGGAACCCGTTGTGGTGTCAAGGAGTTTCTGGGGTATTATTTTTTTTTTGGGGGGGGAGCAGGCCTCATGCTCTGGTTCTGTTGGGCTCACTTCTGTGAGAGCATTCACCTGTCACACTGTAGTTTAGCGTTGAGCGCTAATTAGAAAGGGAATTAGGGGGGCGTAGAGCTGTCTGTGTCATAAATAAGGACTAGTTCCACATATCCAACCCCTCTCCGATATCCCGACCAGGGGTGTTGAAATTCACATGTCACGTGTTCCCGTTTAAATAACGAGACGGTCAACGCTGTTCGCTTCACCCATGAATGTTCTGGCTCGTCAGTGTATCAATCAATCACACGCGACGCCTCCTCTAAAACAATATGTGACAAAGATGATTTAGAAGAAAATAAATATTCAACCGGCATGACAATGAATGTGCCCCATGAATAATGGATGGCAACATGTGATGGGAATAAAGCGGAAGGGGGCAAGGTTCCAGGGATCGTGCCTAACCTGTTTCTAGTGCACAATTCAAAGGGTGAAAGCACCAGGCGGTATTTGAAAGTCCATTATTCTTTAATCAATATACACGATCATAAGATAACGGCCTACAGCTTATGGCCAATTGCATTCATGGAGAGTAAAGGCGATCGGTGTAATCGTAAGACCTTGTTTAAAGTCTGATATCTTCTCTGGGGCTCTGGTGTATCATACGGCTGTTCTATACTGATTATTAATACATAAACAGCGGGAACCCGCTATGGCCTGTGTTCTACGGTCCCGGAACACGTTAGTCTTTAATTCAGCACCTCTTTTGGGTGCTCCAGATGTTCTGTGGCTTTGGTCTGTCTCCATCTTGGTAGTGTCTCCATCTTGGTACTGTCTCCATCTTGGTATTGTCTTCATCTTGGCACTGTTTTCATGTTGGTGCTCAGACTGGGCTTATATGTGAATAGAGGGTAGACTGGAGATATATTGGAGGATGGACATGTCCATCCCAGGCCAGACACTGTTGACTAGGATCAAACATCAAACATGATCAAAACACTGATGCACTTAGCAATTGGAAAGGTAATAGAATAAATCACAGACGCAGTCTAAAAGGTTTACTAAAAAACAGAAGCAGATTGCATGATTAATCTCTATAAATAATCTTTATCTTTCTTGTATTTCCAACTGGGCCAGACAGCAGCATCTGATACCAGAACCTGACTAGGTCTCTTTATGAGAAGCAATTTCCCTGTCTGTGCCTGTCAAAATGCCAGACACCAACAGGTGGCTAATATAATCTACTCAACACATTTGTGTAACTGTGTGTGCGTGTGTGTGTGCATAATGCGTTTGTCCCTGTTTTTGTCTTTGTGTGTGTGTGTGTGTGTGTGTGTGTGCGCGCCCTCGTGTCTTTTCATCAGTCTTGTTTTGTGTCAATTAAAACAGAATTACGCTAACAACATTTAAACTGGAGTAGGGCAGGAACCTGGGATTTCACCAACACTGTTCTTCTGACAGCATCCACATTTCCAGCACTTTTGCAGCCTTGATTTGTATTGCCTGAAAAAAGTTTAGGGTTTGTTTACATTACGATACATTTTCCGAGACATATTAGACAGGACACGAGATGCTAGATCATTTTGTCGCGTTAACGTGCAGATATCAACAGCTTGAGACTCCACCTTCTAAGGATAATTACGTGTGAGGACAATCATGTCAGAACTCTATCTGTTTCTGTACAGTACGCATGTGTATCCATCAACTTTTCCCGCAAACGAAGGCTCTAATTCTGCCTGGTACGCCTCAAACGCATCGGCATCGCTTCATACGCTACGCAAAATGATTATGCAAACCAGGATAAGCCCGTCCGGCGTTTTCTTCTCACCACATAATGTAAACAAGCTCTAAGAAGTATCTTTCTTCTACGGATCCGAGTCTCTCTTGTGTGCAAATTCTTCTTGTGTTGCCTTGACAACAGTAATGTGTTTCGGACTGAGCATGCCAGATCATAAATGTAGATGTGACATTCTCTCTCCTCTCTCTCTCGCTCTTTCTTACCTTCTCTCCTCTCTCTCTCCTCTCTCACTCTCACTATTCCTTGCTAGCTTTACTTATTTCATAATGTGTTTCTCTTACTACTTCAGATATTCATGCATAGGTAAACTAATGATAACTGCTACAGAAAGTCACAGGGAGAAAACATCAGACACTTTGTTTTCCCCTGAATTCGTGATGTCTTTTAGCTTACAGTAGTAATAGATATGTTTACAGGTACACGTGAATATTGTTGGTTACCTGTTCATCACTCTGAAATGTACGTGTAACAAATGCATGCGGCGTGAAACACTGGCTCCGACAACCCTCACATATATCCTCTCTCATTTTGCTCCTAGCTTCCAGGCAAGCAGGTCTGTAATGGGGGGGGGGGGGTGGAACGGGCTAGTTAGCTGTGCCACTGTGATTGACAGGTTCTGGAGCAGGCCCAGTCAGCGTATCTGATAATTGGCCATTGATGAAAGCGGGGCTAAGGTAGGTCTCTTGTCAGCAACAGGAGAGAACCCTTCTTGATTCCAAAGCCTTTCTCATCATCTACCATGACCTTTCTGTGGGACATGTCGTGTGTGTCTGTGTGTGTGTGTGTGTGTGTGTGTGTGTCTGTGTCTGTGTCTGTGTGTGTGTGTGCGTGCGTGCGTGCGTGTGCGTGTGTGTGTGTCGTGAGTGACTCACACCCTCATTAGTTTCAATAGAGTCGGCTAGGTAACTGGGTGTCTGGATATTCTGCCCTAGACTTTGCCACGGACATAATCTCTCAACATTATCATAACCTCTCAGTATTATCATAACATCCAAACATAATGGCAACCACTCAATACTATCATAACATCCAAACATTATTATAACCTCTCAGTAGTATCATAACAGCCAAACATTATCATAACAGCCAAACATTATCATAACAGCCAAACATTATCATAACATCCAAACATTA